TGATTCCTACTGTTTTTCCACTTAAATAAAAACATGGTGGTGAGAACAAGAGTCTGTTTTTTCTGTAGAATTGTTCTGTAGAATTCCATATTCTCTAAAGGATACAGCCAGCTCGTGCTCTCTGACACGGGACTCTCTCTAGACAGCCCAGAGTGTGTTGCTGTCTTTTCGGGGGTGAACATTACCGCTGACCTCGCTGCACTTAAATTCACTCTTGCTGAATCAGGGGGAATTAAACATTGCTGAGTGTTTTGGAGCATCATCTGCAGAGAATGGGTTTTTACAGTCTGAAGCCCTTTTGACCTCAACAACCACTGACATACATTTCACTTCCACTTAATAAGGTGGAGTAAATAACTTTCCACATCTGACAGTGAGAATGAGTTTTTAAAAAGCACTTGAAAGAGAGGAAGGCCACAGAGGGTAAATTTGATCAGGAAGTTCGGAAAGTCCGTTCCTTATCACAAATTGATTTGTTCTCATAATACAGTATCTTGATCAAGTATCAATTCATCTGTAGAGTCACTGTGTAGTTTTGGTTTCCCATTGTGATCAAATGCTGGTTCCTCATTCTGTTGGATTTCAGATTGATTTCAGATTACAGAGCAATATTTTAACACGTCAACCACAGGTTATATGCTACGAGAAGTGAACATAGAACTGTTGTGGGTAAAAGTCACTTTTCCAGAAACTGAATTTCACCACGATACACAACTGAACTTTGAACATTTAGCTTTTGTCAATATCATCAGTATTGAACAAATGTAGTTGACTCCAAACTCAATCGTCTCGAATGACAAAGAACTACCACGAGTGAATTAAAGATCAAATGTCAGCACCACCTTATCCCCTGATGATAATTATGTGACTGACATTGAAATGATCCACTTCCTCTTGGAGGTATTTATTGCTCACCATGTACTTAACCCTCGAGCTTGACGTCTTTCTTGTGTTCACCCACAGAGGCCAGAGAAATGATTGTTGCTTTTGATAAAGAGTTTGTTTAAATGTGTGTTTGTTCCTGTTTGTGAACAGTCAAACTTTTACAGTCAAATTCTGTTTACATCTTTTGAAAAGTAACTGTCACTGTAGACTGATGGAAAATAACTACAGAGCACATTTGGTTCAACTACAGTTTTGATCTATTTGTACTTGATTTACTTTTCAGATTAAGATTTTACACTAAAAGCACAAGCCTATACAATACACTGCATCGTTAATGATTAAACAAGTGATTGCTACATGACCTCTTTGTACATATTTGTTACATTTCAGATGTGTTTTCATAGAAGGCAAATTTCTCTTGTAAATTTTTTCAGATGGTTTCACTGAAATGACCCGAAGAGAGAAAGTTAACCAGTATTTCACAAAAAGGCAAAGGTTAAAGAAAAGTCAGAAATGCTGAAACACATTTTTGAAGCCAGACTTGATATATTGTCCCCTGGAGGCAGCTCTTACCAGATGGGAACCACTGGACTTGAAATATTATTATAACTGAATAACTTTTAGCTCCACCTCCATTTGCTACTTAAATAAACTCCTGCCTAAGCTTTAATGCACCA